AGAGGAGTATATGGTACGCCGAATTTAGATTTGTTCAAATGTGAAATCTCCTTTCATTATGCAAAAATATGATCATCTAGAGTTATCCAATAGCTATAATCATGCCATTTTGAGTTCCCTAGTTTTATTATAAAGAAATAGGATAAGTCACAAGAAGGGGAGCAAGGTAGGCTATTACCTACAACATGTCCACAAAGAATGGTCAAACCGAGGATGATTTGCTATCAAGAAGGGGAGAATGATGAGGACATAAGCGGCTAAAATATGACCATGTTAACCACTTCAAAACTAAAGGTGAAACCATTCTATATGAGGTTTATATTTATTAGATTTTGCGAATTGATGCCACACCTCGAAGTTTGTACATTTTCTTTTTCAAAATTACTTACATGGATCAAGGGAAGATTAGATTGCATATGGAAGGCATGGAAGGTTAATGAAGTTGATTGGCGACCAAGTCCAAGTATTCCTAATGTCCTTTTCCAAACTACCACATCACTTTTGGCTCAAGGAAAGAAAGAGTCAAGTCCAACAGGTTCTAGAAGTTCAATTCGGACCGTCGAAGTGTCCCAACTTGCAGCAGTCGCCACGGCTTCATACGAATGCATTTGGGACGCAATCGTCGTTTTACTCAGAAGACCTTTTCTAGCCACAGGTGCTGCGACACCTTTTTTTGGAAAATGGGCCAGCTCCAACTTGTGACAGCCACCATGACTTCATACGGAGTCCGATTGGGATGTTCAAGTACTTGGTGGAAAGATAATGAAGTCTACTTTCCAATGGATTCAACCTCACCCTCATATCATCTCAGAGTCAGGCTACAATGGTTGTTTTACTTTAAAGACCTTTTCTATCCATAGGTGCTTCGACACCTATCTTTGGCCAATGGGCTGTGTACCACGTTGGCTCCATTAGGGGCGCGTCCTATGGTTGGAGGATGACCCTAGCACCCCTTTGGTCATCCTCCCATCTACTTATGTGCTTCTAGAGCCACCACGAATAGATTGGGTTTTGTTTTGATGTAAGTTTAGCTCCTGCTACTTCCTTATAGACATATGTGTTGGCAAGACCATCTGTTCTACTCGATTTGGAACCCCACCTTATTGTGATTCAGATATGAACCTTCGTAATATCTTATTTTGTAGTTGAGTGCTTGTCTACTTGTTCTTCAATTGCTTGCAGGAACAACCCTAGTGGTTTGGTTGGTCGTGTATCTACAAGATCATGACAACTGCAGGAGTTGTTTTACTCTAAAGACCTTTTCTGTCCATAGGTGCTGCGACACCTATCTTTGGCCAATGGGCTGTGTACCATGTTGGCTCCATTAGGGACGCGTCCTATGGTTGGAGAATGACCCCAACACCCTTTTGGTTGTCCTCCCTTGTACTTATATGCTTCTAGAGCCACCACGAACAGATTGGGTTTTGTTTTGATGTAAGTTTAGCTCCTGCTCTTCCTTGTAGACGCATGTGTTGGCAAGACAATATGTTCTACTCATTTCGGAACCCCACCATATTGTGATTCAGATATGAACCTTTGTAATATCTTATTTGGCAATTGAGTGCTTGTCTACTTGTTCTTCGATTGCTTACAGGAACAACCCTAGTGGTTTGGTTGGTCGTGTATCTACAAGATCGTGACAATCGCTAGAATTGGTGTATCGGTTGCTAAGGCGTAGGGTCCTTGGACAGTTGTAGTCGGGTTGTGAACGTCTCTCTAGGCAAATTGAAGTTATCCATTTCCACTAAAAGATCGAGACACCCTTACCCTTACCATTTATGATATATGAATTGATTACTGAGGGGCATTAAGTCTGACTTTTCTATTTGTTTGTTGTCATTCCTCTTTTTGATGGTTGTGGTTGTAGTTGATGCCAAGTTTAATGAATGTGTTGCTGTTGTTATGGTAATCCTCTATATGCTGTAGAGAAGACTCATTGTACCCATTATTCATCAGAGTAGAAGCTTGGAATAGATTGATTTGTCCCATGGTTTTACTTCTCACCTTGAGGAGGTTTTCCACATAAATTGTTTTGTCAATTGTGCATGTGATTGTTAAATTCCATCGTTGATTTGATGGTAGATGTTCTCATTGTTCATTGCAAGATGAGGTATTAATTAGTGCATTGTTGCTACTCTTTTATCCCAATAGAGTGGTATCAAAAGAATTTGGTCATTGTATTTAGCTTGTATCCAACTTGATTACTTGGTGATTTATCTTTGTGGTGAAGGTGGAAACAAATACTAGCAGAATGATCCCATTGAATGATGCAAATTATAAAGCATGGAAAGGTAAGATGAAGGATATACTCTATGTAAAAGAGTATTGGAAGCCAATGCTTGTTGAAGCAAAATCGGATGACAAATTTAATGGTGGATAGTGGGTTATTCATGGACAAGCTAAAATTGATCTAGCTAGAGTGCTATTACTACCATAATAAGGGACACAAAAGGTGGCAATGTACCCAAGTGGAAAAGGAAAAGGTTAAGAAGAAACATGAAGCATAGAAACAAGTAACAGTGATGTTAGCCATATTACTTCTGTAGTTGAGGCGATTATAATTGTCATTGTAGTTGAAATTGAAGGTGTCAGATATACGGGACTAGGATACCTCACTGCCTGTATTCTGGCTCATAGCAATCGACTAGGACGAAGATGACGAGTATGAGGCCCACGTACGCCGGGCGCAACAATAGACGTGATGACCAAGTCACCAAGCATAGATAGCTTGCATTTCGATCTTTGCGACGCAGTAATAGACGTGATGACCAAGTCACCAAGCATAGATAGCTTGCATTTCAATCTTCGTGGGAGATGATCGAATTGTTTGTTGTACTTTCCATGTAACCAGCAATTAGTAACACATCTATTAACTGATTAGATGTCATGTAACCCTGCCCCCGACCTATATAAGGAGGGAAAGGGACCCCCCGATCAACATTCCATTACTTCCATCTACCACATAGCTACAATCTACATCCCCTATAACTGAGCATACAAACATAGAGATCTTGTCGGGGACACATAACTAGGGTGCCCCAAGACACACTAAGAGAATCACTCAGGGTGGCCCAGCTAGAAGCGACCCAGCAAACTACGGCCCACCTCGACCACTCTTTCTTCACGCCGTACGAGGCCCGCCTCGACCATCCTCATCTCTCGACCATGCACCATGTGGCCACGCACACTCCTCCAAGTACAGAGACACACAAGCCCACGCACACTCCTACCCGATAGGACAGGACACACAAGCCCACGCACACTCCTCCAAGTATAGAGAAGGATGACCATCCCCCAGACCACTGGGTCCTGGGGCAGAGCGCCACCCTTTGGACCGTGCTTTTCTAATGGACAAGACTATAGTACCAGGGATTGGCTACGTCACGCCGCGTGGCATAGCACCACCCAAACCCTACCTAACTCGATAGACAGGCATACGATCATACCCACTATGGGTATGGGACTCACGATCGGGAATCAACTCCCACCAAGCCTGCCAGATCCAAAGTCCCCCGACCTGACCACTGAAGGTTGGGGCAACGTTGCAACGACCAGGAGAGCAGGCAACTCGCAAAGGACAACCACCCACTCCTCATACTGGCTGCACGACGCCTCCCTAGGAAAATAGGTGCTAGGACGACAGCCATGACACATTCCAGGCGCCCACACTGCGTAGGATGGATGGTGAACAACCATGACCTGCATAGTGCTGCCATGGCATCCCATGACCGGCATAGTGCCGCCATGACGAGCCATGCCATGACGTGAGGAGCAAGAACCCGATGACCAAACTCAGATGTATCAATAGAAGCAAGGACAAGACATAGAGGGCCCGCTGACCAAGCTCACCAACTTCTCCCTCCCCCTAGCTCTCGACCACTCGGGTTGGAGAACCCTTCACTTCTCAACTGTTACCCAGCCTCCTCGACTATATAAGGGGAGCCGAGGCTTCATTCAGAACAATCAAATTCCCCTGTCTCAAATCCCTTCTCTCTGTAGAGCCCTAGCTTATGAACCGCTATTGTAAGCCTTTTGGAGCACTTGAACCGAGGAACATGAACTCACATATCTCCACATTGGACGTAGGGCTTCGTCCTGAACCAGTATAATTCTTTGTGTCTCGAGTGCCACCATTGATTCCCTTGAGTAGCGTGGTGCTAAATTTACTAGTCGGTCCACAAAACACCGATATACTTTAAACTAGATGTAGGGTACCGTGTACCTAAACCAGTATAAACTTCGTGTCTTGTGTGCTACCCCTTTGATTCCCTGCGCGTAGATACACTGATCCGTATTGCTAGAGTAAATACTTCCGACAGCTAGCATGTTAGGTAGGGCCTTTGCGTGCAGATTCATTGAGTTTTAGATGGGTCTCATCTTCAAGTTTGACGACATTGAGAAGATGCAGTTGGGAGCTCTCTTCTGAGCATGCACTACAAGAAACCTGTTAATCCATGACGAAAAATTTTCGTCACAAATCAGCAAAAAACCATCACTATACATCTGTGATGGTTTCAGATATCGTCATAGATTGAGCGTCATGGATTGACTCTCGTGACGTTTTACCGAAAATTGTCACGGATTGACATAATTAGTGACGATCTTAAACCGTCACGGTAAATCCTGAGGCCTAGTTAGCCTAGCCCAAGCCCATTTCCTGTGACGAAATATAAACGTCACGGATTGAACAACCACCTCATCATTACGCTGACATGGATGATGATGTGGACATTGAGCCAGCAATGACATGGATGCTGACATCTGCACTGATGTGGGCACTAATGCTAGTGCTGATGTGGACTCTAGACGATTTTTTGAAATCTCATAATTACATAGCCCAAATCACATGCAATAAATCAAGCTTTTATCCAGTAATCAAATACAGAGTCTCACATTTTCACCCAATAATACATCACATAAAAGTTTTCATCCAACAGGTCAAATTACAAGAATTGGTTGACACAATATATAACATTTATGTCCAATCGTCTTCCACTACATTATGGGGGTGTTCGCTTGAGAGCTTGAGCTAGAAGCAGCCGCTCTGCTGCAAGAACAGCCCGATTGTCCATCCTCCAAACTGCACTATAACTCCATTTGATATGCCACCCTACAACAAAACATAGCACAAATCAACCTTACTGTACATAAGTTACAACAAAATAGCCATTTAAGCTACAATAAACAGCTAGATAACAAGCACAATGAAGATTATTGTACATTCATGAATGACTAGCTCAAGCACGTGAGATAAGTAAAGACAATATAGCTCAACTAGTAAATAAATATTGTGTAAAGATGAGAAGTGCTATCTGTATATTTCAATTGTTACCTCTAGGTAGGCACATCGTTTAAGCAACAAGAGAATGCATATGCTAGTTAGGACATCATGTGCAGCTGCTGAAACAGGGATAGAGTGCTTCGCAAAGAATCAAGCTAATAAATTCCTAGCACCAAAGATCAGGAGCCAAAGAACCAAAATGTTCAGCATTGGAGTAATTAAAGTTGATGCTGCTGTAGCAAGAAATTGACATTTCACAAAATAAAAACATTGCATGCCAAACTGCTGCTCTCAATCAAATTGCATAGTGCAAACCTGAAAATAAGCAACACACTGAACTGCACTGCTACTGCACTTGTTGGAAACTTGCTGCTGGAGAAACACTGAACTGACGCACTGAATAAAAAACGATACAGCTGAACTGATGCTGCTGTAGAGATACTCTAGCTGCTCTGTTAGAACCAAGAAGCAAATGTGGCTTAGCTGCTATCAAAGAAAAACAAGGAAGCTAATACACAGAAGCAGCTCCACAAAGACAGACCAGAGAGGACATAGTGAGCTCCTGCTCATGCAGAAAACAGAGCTGAACACAATAATTGTTCTTCAATACAATACATGTATATAATAGAAGTACAATCAGCAGTCCTGTAAATTGTAAATTCAGGTGATGATGTGTAAATTGGAGAGCACAAATAAATCCAACTAGCAGCAGCTCACCAATTTAGTTCCAAATAAAGAATGTATTTTAGAAAAACGGTGCAGCAACTGGCACTAAAGAAAGTTGAATAACTTTCTCTAGGATCTGGGTTAGTATAACGCATAGAGTCAGTACTAAGGTATTATGGTATATCATGGTTGAGATCTAGGCCTTAGCCATTGAGCAAGCAGCAAAGTTCACTAATTTAATAGGATAAAATAAACAGTTTGCACAACAGGATATATCGATTACAACCAATATAGATGAACGCAGAATTTTTCCATTACCGTTCATATACTTATGGTTACACAAACAGTCACATTTGTAAATTAGCTGAATCAAGACTGTAAGCAAAGAATGCTTACAGACTCTGGCTCCATTTATAGTTTACTAGTTGTGTAGTAGTAGCAGATTTATAATTACAGGCACATTCATACAATGATTCTGAATCACAATCAATAGTCAAGGTTTCAGGCAAATATAACCAAGTACTGAACAGGGGCAGAACAGAGGATTAAGAGTGTGCAGGTTCACATTGATCGAATATAAAACAGGAATCAAATAGAAAGGTTACTGACCCATTCTCAATTTTCTTTGACAGGGTCTCCATGTCCATGCTGCTGCTCAAGCCATGCTTGCTTCCTCCACTGCACATATGAGCATGAATAAGTACAATTGTCAATTCTCTTGGCAATAGCAAGAAAACGGATTGTTATCAGACTAAACAAATTTCTTTAGATACTAGTTCCACGTGCTCTAAGTTTTATCATAATAGCACAATAACACATGTGAACTATACACAGGTATACCAAATATGTTTCAATGCAAATGTGAATCTGAATCAAGCAAAACAATCAGTACCTCAAAAATTTGTAAAATGAGACAGCAGACAGTCGTCCATCAGAAAGCTGTCAAAAGAACAAAATATTCACAATATGATGAGCAACAGGACAATAGTCTGCTATTAGGTGCAAATAAGACTCACATGACTGCTAATAAAATTCATACTAAAATAAAAATCAGGCCATAAAAAAATGAAAATATATCAAGTGTTTAAAAGGAAAAATGGGCACAGAAAGGGCATGTGCAGCCAAAGACATTCAAAGGGCATTTAGCCAGGGGATTTCCCTAGGAATTCATGGGATTTATTCCAAATCTCCCATAATGTTAGAATCTGAACTCATAAACAAATAAGACTCAGTGATATACACCTCTTTCTCCTGTACTACTAGACTAGTCTAATATATATTTCTCGGGCTATACAATAAAACAGAATATTCAGCTCCAGGCCAATATATGCGCACAACAATAGCAAATGACAGATCTTCTCAACTATTACAATGAGTCATAAGTCTTAACTAAATAGTGGGTAATGTACAGCAATGACGCCAAATTAATAAACAGCAATGGAAGACTAGAAAGTGGCAGAGTGGCTACAGTTGGCATAACAAAAAATTCTGCAATGAGCGTACCTCATAGCGTGGATCTGCGACATCCACGATGGATTTGGTCTGCCCACAACAGATCCAACAGATCCAGAGCGCCCATTGCATGGATCCTCCTTGCACAGATGGATAGAGTGTGAGAGAGAGAGAGAGTTGAGGGGCGACGGATGCAGATACAAACTTTGATTCGGCGTGGATGCGACTCACCTTGACGTCGGCAGCCGCTTCATCCGCGGTCTAGCTCACTCGTAGCGACGCGCTCCCATTGGCTGGCTGCGAGGCCAATTCGTCCGTGGCGCCAGGCCACCTCTGTCCGAAGTCGCGCGGCAGAATCAGCCTGCTGGCGGGCAGCTTCATCCGCGTCGATAGGCCGCCTATGCCCAGTGGCCGGGCGGACCTCCTTGGCCTCCACAAGTTGCGTGCCCACCTCAGCGCCGATGGCTAGGGTCAGAGCGACGACCGGGATGTGGTGCCGCCGCCGTCCTCCTCCGCGTGCCATGCGCCATCCTCGGCTTTCTCCGATGGGGGGTGGGGTACTGGGATGGAGGCCGCCGGCCGGTGTGGGATATTGGGATGGGCACGGTAGGTAGCTGAGATGGTCTGGTGTGGGGCAGCGGCTGTTGGCAGGAGGGAGCGGGGGTGGGATTTAGGTTTGGGGCTGCATTATATATGAGAGCGGGTGTTGGACCAATGGGCTGGATATCCACCACGTTAGATCATGGATTGCTGGTGCTGGTGCTGGTGCTATGACAGTGACGTTCTCTAATTTTATCATAGAAAATCCGTCACATATCATAAGGTTTTTTTTTTCTGGGTTTCCGGTCGTTCTAACATTTCATCGACGAAGGATGATAAAAAGTGATTTTTCTTTATTGTTTTATTAAGTTTTCGGTAATCTATGCACATCCGCCATTCAGTGACGGTTTTTTGAGGATTAATTCATTCTTTTCATTTTTAACAACAGTCATGCCTCCCTTTTTAGACACAACTTGAACAGGGCTAACCCATTCACTATGCGGCACATGATAGATGATCCCGACGTGCAAAGTTTTAAAACATCTTTCCTAACAATCTCTCTCATTGTATTATTAATCTTACGCTGGGGCTCCCTAGAAGATATAAAATTAGGATCTGTAGGGATGCGATGTGTGCAAAGAGTAGGGCTAATACCCTTAAGGTCTTGGAGTGAATAGCCAAAGACAAAATGATACTTTTCTAAGACAGTTAGCAGGCCTGAGAAAATTTATCACTTATGATCATAGGAGAATCCTTATCATTATTAAAAAAGCATATTTAAGACCAGACGGTAGGGGTTTAAGTTCAATGGTGGGCTTAGGTGGTTCTAGCAATTTATCTAGAGACTCAGACTCCGTGGGATTTTCATCTTCCTCCTCGATGAAAAACTGGTCATCATCTTCAAGGTTGGGTTCGATCAAATAGTCAAGAGATGCAATATTAACCTCTTCCATTGGTTTTTTCTCAGGAATTGGCTCACTCTCAGCATTTAGAGAATGAGTAATGGGTATAGAAAGTTTAAAGTTTTTTTCGAGTCTTATATTCAACTTCCCCGTTTGTCCTTCTTGGATAAGTTTTTAATTGGTTGTCCTATCAACAAGTCGAACTCCATAATATCAAAGATATAGAAGCTCAAATAAACTTTGGTTCCTTTTATCTGGATAGGGAGGACATATAAAATTCCTAAACTTAGGAGAATGTGTCCTAAAAGACTTTTCAACAACTTTGTTGTTGGGGTTAATGGCATGTGTTTCAATAAATCAAGAGCAAAAGATACAGATATGATATTAATACCCACAACATGAATGTAAAATGCATCAAAAGGAGCTTTATTAATTTGGCAACGAATGGATATAGAAGGTTAATCTAAACAAATCACATCAGAGTAAAGTTCTGATTTTTTTAACCATTCATTGCTTATAATAGACACCAGCTCTTTCGTAATATTTTTAAGGAAAACTTTCTCAGAAGGGTCTAAAGGTTCTTCATTGGATGATGATTTTCTAGACTTTTGGGCTCTCCTCATGGTATGGTAATTTGAGATATTTCCATATTCATCGAAAAGTTCATCCTCGAATTTAAGCATAAAGTCCAAAATTGGAGTTTCCTCCTTTTTTGGTGGTTTAGGATTTAGGATAGCTGAAGTTAGTGATGGGTCTGGTAAGAATTCGGGTTCATCTATCTGGGATTCTTCCTCTAATGATTTCTCTTCTACTTCTTTAGGGATGCTCTCATGTTTATCCCCGTATTGGCGGAGACATGCAAGAACGAGCTTCCTGAGGCCGTATTAAGAAGCTTTGAGTTTTTCCTATCAAGACCCATATAGAAGTGTTGAAGAAGAATATAGTCTTGAATGGCAAGGTCAAGGCTAGTATTAATAAGAGTATTAAAGCATTTCCATGCCATGCCTAGAGATTCTTTTTTCTTTTGTTTAAAAGATAGAACCTCTTGAACGAAGTCTAACTACCCTAGAGATAGGAAAGAATTGTAAGCAAAAGCTAGAGCACATGGCTCCCCAATCTCTTTGTCTACTCCCTATGGTGAGATTATACCAATATTTAGTTTTTTCCATCAAAGGGAAAGGAAAAAGCTTTCATTATAAGGTTTCGTCTGACATGCCCGTAATGCACAATCATACACAGGTCAGCTCAAACTCATTTAGGTGGGAACATGGGTTTTCATCATCTTTGCCCAAAAAGAGTTGATCCTGAACCATGTTAATTAAACATGGACATAGCTCATAGCAAGGTGTTAGAATAGGCTTTGAAGACTCTTTTGCTTGTAGGCTTGCGCTCATGGGTGCACCATATTGATAGATAGGGGTGGATTCTGGATCCATGGTAAAGAGAAAGGAAAAGATAAAAGAATATTAATACAAGAATAAGCTAGGTTCAAAGTTAACTCAGCAACCGTTTCTTCGGCAACGACGTCAGAAATGCTTGTTGGTATAAATTAATGCACACAGAATAATCCGCAAGCACACGTATATTATATCGATGTAGCACTTAACCGGGAGTACCTAGTGTTATACAGAACAAGAGGAAATATGTGTGAGAATAACCAAATGTAACTTATCCCAACTTCATAATCAAGGTTAGATAATAGGAGCATAGAGGAGACTGCTAAGGTCTTCTAGTTCTAACTTCGGTAAGCTTTGTCTTCTATTGTTCAATTCTGGGGATATTACTAGAGAAAATACAGGCAGAGTATGTTTCCTATTGTAACAATGTCCTACTAGGCCTACTAACGGGAGGTGAACTACAAAGGATTTAATGAGGCTATAAAAGTCACCCTCGCGAGCTACCACCGATCCGAAAAATAGGGTACATCCACGAGTAACCGAGTCTAAGCACCACGCTTACACTATAAATACTACTTTAACCCAGGAGCTACAAGGATTAAAGTACTCAAAAGAGAGTCGCAAACCTAAAGAACAATATGAACAAGATGTTTACTTGAATTAGAAGTCGATTACCAGAGAAATCTCAGAAGCAAGCTCAAGAAGAACTTGATTCCACCAGGATACAAGCCGTAGAGAGAGCACCGACAGGCCAGGACTCCTCCAAACTATTTTCTCTCACTCTATCTCACTATCTCTAATACAAGACTAGATCCTATTGAGGACTAATCTTCTCTTGATTGCTAGCCTTGATCCTGGTGGACATATGAATTAGGGTTTCTGGCTTCTCAGCTCTCAGGATCATGTGGCATGCCCTAGAGGGGGTGCAGGCTGGTATATATAGCCCGGAGGGTCCAACGTGAGCCCTTAGATCAAACTGACTTAAAAACGGCGGAGATGCAATCCTAAAGGCGGTGGAGAACCGATATAACAACGAGACTGATAGGTGGGGCCCATAGGGGCTAGGCGGCCTCTAAGTGGGGTCGTGAGGCCCCACATGTCAGAGACACATGTCCCGCTTCGGTGATTCACCTTCTGGAATCTTCTAGAGTCTTCCCACGCTGTTTACGCGGCAGAATTCCGTGATACCTTTTGATGAATAGGTCCTCCTTGACGGTTTTCTGATTAAATCCTATTAAAAACACAGATTCACCAAAACTCATGGAATTTGTCAGTTTAAACCCCTAAGTCTACATTGGTGATCCATTTTAGCTATTTATACAAGTTATATTGATGATTTATGATGAATGTTAACTAACGTCAACAAACTTCCATGACGAATCTAGAAATTCATCATAGAAGTGGCTTGATCTATGATTGTCACACCCCAAATTTCCTGATTTGGGATGTGACTAGAAAGCACTAAAACAAAACAAATGGTTTTTACTATTTTCTAAAATTTTCTCAACTTTAGTTAAGTTGTTGACATTTTAGATAGTGGAAAAATGTGAGTTTCTAAAATTTTTGTAATTTAATTTAGTGGTTTGTTGCATTACATGCCTTTGCATTGAGTTTATGTATGAAAATGAATTTAAATGTTTTTCAAGACACGCCTAAGTTTTGATCACAACTTCATCTCTCCAAACATCAAACTAATCTATAAAATTCAAATCAAGTCTTTTGCCGAGATCCTACTTAAACCCACTTCTTTTTGGGCTCCTATTTCTTTTTGATCAAGTCTCCTCTCCCCTTCAAGCAAAAATAACAGCCACACATAATATTTCTTCCTACGTATCCCCCCTTAATCACACCTCCTTAATCTCTCCCTTTTATTTTTGTGTAGTTACTCAATTGAAGAGCATGACCAGCATGGCCGGCCTCCACATTCTTCTGCTGCTCTCACGCCTCTATACTCCTCATGCAAAATTAGATGGACCAATTCCTTCCTCTCATAATTTACTAGACACACCTTAAGAGTGCTCATTTAGTCCATCATTTTCTCTCTTTCCCTTGAAATGCATGCATGCAACAGCTAGTAATATCTCCTCACCCTCCCTTTCACATGGAGAAGCCTTTCCTCTCCTCTATGGCACCTCCTCCCTTTACTATCATGCAAAAATATCAGCAACATCTAATTGTTCCTCCCTCAATTCCCTTGGTTACACCATTCTTTAATCCTCTCCTAATAGCTCCCTTAACTCCATCAGTTTCTCCCTTATACTCTTGAATTGCATGAAGAAAACAATGGAGTGTCCCCTCTACATCTCATCCATTCAACCATGCATTCTCTGTGACAGAACCGCTCAATTTATACAAGATCAAGTACGGCTGTCCCCGCTAACCCGTTGACACACGCATACTTTCACTTATATAAACCCGGTAGTCCGTCGAGTGTCTCGAAAGACCTCGGTAAATCAACATCACAACCAAGATCGCGTGATTAAGCAAATACACATCACATACGCAAAGTTGCAGCAGAAATAATGTTACAAATGGGTTCACAAATAATAGTACAAGTTTGGGTTTCAAAATCAATTATTGAAAACAACATAGCTTTCAAATGATTACATTAATATAAGTTCCAAATACATTGCTAGCATAAGTGACATCCTCAGACAAAAGCATATAGATGAGAAGTAAATATA